TTTTAAGAAGTGCACATGATGGCAGTTCAAGTGGTCATACAGAATCTTTAGCTGCAACTCTTGCTGAACATCAGCAACACTTGGTTAGCTTTCAGGTAATGCTTACGCTTTAGCTAAAAGTACTGGTTATTGGTTATTACATATGAAGTTATAAGATGAAGGAACCGATATGTAAGGTATCCCCAATGTGACTGTATTTGGTGGTCAATGCAACCAAGCTTAAACTTTAAATGATATTATGCATTCGAGTCTTGAAATCTGGCAATAATTATTTGTTTTTCTGATAGTGGAGTCAGCTTATATAGTTTGAATTATTGGAATTTGCATTAGAATCAACTGGTTGTTATTTTCTTCAAATGCTTTTTGTGCCGTCCCTTAATATATGTGTTATTTGAGTTGTCTATTGTTTACAAGGATCCATTAGTACTTTGATATTTTCCTTCATGAAGTATTTCAAGTTGAGCTTCCGTTGGTAGGAAGTTGTTGTAACATGTGGAAGTGCATATTTATTTGTCCATATGCCTTTCTTTAGTCCCCTTCATCCCTTGTGCATAATTTATTTGTCACGACTCATGACTATGATTACCTGATGCTATGCTGAGATTCCAATTCATAATTTCTGTAGGTTCTCATTAACCAACTGAAGGAAGTTGCTCCGGCAATACAAAAGTCAATATCAGAATGTACAGATAAAGTAGATAGCATTTCATCTAGTCTGCCTCCGATGATCAAACATCCTGGTCAATCAACTTCACCTATTCAAGCACAGAGTAGTGGAAGGACATTGGTAATTTTGAACCTATTTCTTGCAAACCTTATACCTACTAAATGTCTAGACTTGAATTATCACAGTGTAGAATTGATTTAACTTGTCTTTGTTCCTGTTGGAAAATTCAGGAAAGTAACACTGATGATGTGGCTGAGGTGACTTCAAAATTGTCTACCTTTCAGCTCGAAAAGGTGTCATCCAGTCCTGCTTTAAAGCTACCACAGTTGTTTAACTTGACTCCTAATTCTTCTGGGAAAGGTGGAAATATGCATAAGCGCCCTACTTCAGTTGCTCAATCAAACCAAGAGAACTTTCCTGAAAGGAAGTCTGTGGAGCAGCCTCTTTCAAGTAATTACATAGATAATCTACAACAAGGTCAGTTATCTGTGCCTGGCTCCTCCAGTTCTCATTGTGTTATAAGCGTGTCCGCTTGCTTAAGGCATTTCATTTTATATGCGGATTATTGGTGGTTGAACAGCTTTGTGTGGATGATTGTGATTTTTAGTTTCATGTTATGCAGATAGTCACAATTATTATGTTCAGAATCTAAAGAGATCTGTTAGAGAAGCTGCTTTGTCATGGAATTCCTTAAGTTCCAAATCATCACAAGGCAGCCATTCTGATGAAAGCTCTGAGCATTTCTTTTTACCTCTTTCACCATCTGGGGTTTCTCGTCTAGGCCAAGAATCTAAAGGGGCTTCATTAAGGAGTAAAAGGTTTCCATCTCAGACGGAGGCTTCCTTTCATGAAAATTGCGCTCCTGATGGTAATGTGGGGAGCAAGTACGCCGAATTATCTGAAGTATTGAATGGTTTAGATTCACTTGATGATTATGACCAAGTAAATGGGTTTCTTTCGGCTGCTGGTTCAAACTGTGCTGTTTCAGACACACAGAGATCATTTTATGACTTTGAAGAAGCTCAGGAGCAGGTTTTCTCACCTCCTTTGCTAATGGACTCATCACTATTAGCAGATTATGAGGACTTACTTGGTATGTTTTTCTGGTCACCAACTAGTTCTGTTATATTGGCTTTTATATGTAGACGTTGCTATCAGTAAATGAATTAATTTTATTATTGAATGCTTTCATCATTCAAAGTATATGGTCATCTGCACTGGTTCAGGCACTAGGTTTTGTACTTTATATCGTTAAACCTTGGGGATAGCCATTATAGCCTTGAGGTCAACCACCACATGACCTATATCATGCACGCAAGATTGGCTTTATCACAACTAACACACACGCACGTCTTTAGTTTCCTGTGAGAACATCCTTCACTAATTTTAAATTGTAAGTCAATATGAAGTTGTCGAAAATTAATCATTTGTATGATTGAATCTTAGCTGGCTCCATCTGTTGCCAAATTTTTTTATTAGAGAGATCAAAATATATTTACATTTGTGTACCAGTGCGATTAATATATTTATGCTACCTAGTCGAGCTATAGTTTTCTAGCTTCGTTTACACTACAATTCTTTATTTTTTTCCTGTCATATTTTCTTCCCGCTGAGAATTTGTTCGACTCTTTTTTGCAGCACCACTTTCAGAAACTGAAACAGCCTTAATGGAGCACTGAAACTGAATTTAAAGCAACCTGTCCTATTGGTCGAAGAGCTATTTGGTCACTGCGATGGTTTTGTTTCCACTTTCCCAAATTACTGTTGACAACTTGACATGCCTCTATCATTTCTTTGATGTTTTGTACATTTCCCCCCGTCCAACTCAGCGCAGTTCGTTTGTTTGGAAGAAACCAATTTTCCTAGCAGTGCCGTTGTACATGCTTGACAATGGCTCGGAACCAAGACGATTGTAAGCTACAATGTGGCGCCTTATGCGCGTTCCTGGGGTGATTTTGTCCATGGATGATTAGAAAACTACAACGTGGCGCCTTATGCGCGTGTACTTAGCCTTACCCTGTGCAGCGATCTTCGAGTTTCATGCTTCGGTTAACTGACAAGATTGATTGTTGGTCTGATTTTTTTAATGTCTATGATTAATCTGACCTCAATGTAAGTTGCTGATACGGCATAGATGTGAGAAATTGTTGTTGGAACAATAGGGATTTTACCTTCTTCTATTTTTTTAACGTTAATATTCTTTTAGTAGGGTAATTATTTCTTTTGAAATGATGGAATTGTGAGTAAATGTCGTTGTTTAATCAAGTAAATGATGAATGATTGCACAAAAGTTAAGTTTTCTGTCCTTTCCTTGGCCTTTTTATACGAGTTTGGACTCTCTGAAATCTTACTGTTCAAAGTCTAAAGATTAGGTAATCCGGGTTCTTGGTTTGTATGAAGGAGAGATCATAATTATTTGTTTGTGTGATGTAAGGCGGCATAATGAGTTTTAATGACCGTCAAATTTAATGAGTGCTTCAGATTATTTGATCCTTGGACTTTGGACAATTCGGCTCTCATTCCCTCCTATACGTGTCATTTCGCTTTTTATTTGTGGAGGAAAATGGTTGCCCACTTTACTGGGTGCAAGGCAAGTCCTAAGTCCGGTCGAGACAAGGCGTCTTGCGGAAGAAAAGGAAAAAGGAGCTTCACATATGAATTATGATAACTAATGAGTTCTTTTGCTGGCAGCCGTAGACGTAGTTACATTGATAAACTTTTTTTATATGCTTGAGTTTGAATTTCATTTTCATAGTTTAGATTAGTTTAAAATTGAATATTATATGATGAAAAATTATATGGAATATTTACTTACTCAGAAATGAGCAAAGTAATGCATAGGAAAAACAGAAATACAAATACAATCAACTACTCTCACTAATCATTCAAAATCTGAATTTAGAAATTTAGAAATATGAATGGTAGATTGTAATGTGGAAGTGGAGAAATTTTTTACTCCGTAACTGTATGTATATAACTATACGCAGAGTAAATCATGAAGTAAATTAACTCTAATATACGTGTTAGCAGAGTAAATCATAAAGCAAATTAAGTCCAATATATGTGTTTTTACTAACATGTCCTTAATCGTACAACATCATTTTTCTCAAAAAAAAATCCAAGAATTCAATAAATAAACTATAATTTGCTAAAAATAAACAATTCTATCGAAATTTCTCGTTTTATATTTGATCCCAATGCCAGCCCATGAAAGAGGAACAAAAGAGCCTCGACCCGGGCGCTCTGTTAAAGTGTACACTGCACAGTGACACATCTCATTCTGCTTTGCCAAATGCAAGTACTAAATTACCATTCCAACCTTTCACTTTCCTCCCCAACGGCTCTTTCCAACCGAAAGTTGCGGTGGATTTAGAAGGCTATTTTAGTCAAATAGGACCTCTCGACTCTCGTCATCTGGAGTGAATCAAAGAGAGAGAGAGAAAGCAAGGATGAACAGTTTTTGAGGTTTAAAATTGAAATTCCCCATCAAAGTTAAAACAAATTAATAAATTAATAAATAGTAATACTAACTTTTCAAAGAAAAACTAATGAAAAAGATTTGAAAACTTTGAGTTTTAACGATAAGGACAAAATAAAGGTAAAATGAATAGTACTATGATTGACTTTTTAGTGTAAAAATATGATTTTTCGTCAAAATGAACAGTACCGTGGACTTTTTGTTAAAACTCTCATTTTTCAATGAATTTTTTTGTTTGTTTTGCCAATCAATCCGTAATATTATTAATATAAAGATTCAACTTGGAAAGGGATCTCTCCGGATCCCTTCCATTTACTTCATCAAGTTCGAAGATCTGAAGTATTGACATTTGATTTATCGGTTACAATAGGGGTCTACTTTAAAAATTATAATAACTTTAGCCGTTTGATCAAATTTCAATGATCCGGATCCTTGAACTTAATAAATTAGGTGAAAGAAATCTGGAAAGAATCCCTTTCCATTCAACTTAAAAAGAAGTGCAAACTATTGACTATCTGATATACTTTTTTTTGTTTGGATTTGATATCGCAGCATAATGTAAGTTAAATACAGAGTTATAAATGAGACTATGCAATGGTTAAGATGGTTTGAACATATAGACAAAAGATTAACATATACTCCAATTAAAAGATGAGATTGTATGACGCAAGCTCAATACAAAATGGGTAGAAAAAGAATTTAGAAAACGTGAAAATCTGACAAAAGATTTAAGGTATTTGTAGCTAACAAAAAACAAGACACATTTGCTCTAAAAAATTAAAACAGCGCACCGAATCAAGTAAAATGACGTTCTAAGCACGGTTATTGTTCTGTTGTACTCAAACCATATTATTATTTATTATTATCATTATAATAATAATTGCAATTTTCATCTGAAAATTAGAAGTAAAAATCATCCAACAAAAACAACTGCTTACAGCCGCCAAGGATTGCTGTTCTTCAACACCCCTCCCACCCACTTTTTTTTCTCTATTTCTCTCCATCTCCGAAAAAGCAAGACAAGAACCAATAGCTCCGACCTTCTCTCTCTGTAAGTATCTCCGAACAATTCATCATTTTCTCCAAAAATTGACCTTTATTGCATGTTTTTCCAGCTCTGCAATAACTTTCCACTTTCTGGCTTTCAAATTTGTGCATCTTAATCTCTGTCGGAGAATGCCGAATGGGTTTTTCAGATCATGTCCGGATCTTGTTCTGTCATGATCCAGCTGAATTTCTTGTCAATTTTGGCGAAAAGGGGCAATTTTTCAGTATTTTTTTCCTTTTCATTTTTTTATGTGGGTTTTTGCATAAGTCAAACTATCTAATCTTAGAACACGAATTCGATTGTTTTGAGGTTATCTACATCTGGGTTTCCTGATATAGGTTATGATTCTGGCTAAAAAGTCAAGGTTTTACTGTTACCTAAGAAAAGTTTGAATTTTGGCTCTGGCTGATGGATCAGAGATTAGAAGTTTAGCAAAGATGTTGTTTTTGCATTGCTTAGTTAATTAACGATTGGAAATTTCTAGGATTCTGTTTAATTTTCGCTCCGAATCGATTTTTATATGCAGCTGTGTTCTCGTTTGTGGGGGGGTTTGATACTTCTGCTGCAGATTTCCCCAATTGGGTTCGAGCGTTTGTTTTTAATTTGGGCGAAGTCACTGTCTTTACCAAGGAAAGACATGAGAAGTTTATAGGATCGGGTTCTTTCTTCGTTGTGCCGGATTTTGGGTTTATGTTTCTGTGGTTTTCTGGCCTGATTGGAATTGTCTTTCCGCTATCATCGATGCTGTGTTTGCTCTAGTAGTTTGATAATATTGTGCTGTGAAGTGCACAAAGAAGAGGTTTCCTTTGTCGATTGAGTTATGATCAAACAGATACTTAATAGGCTCCCGAGGAAGCCCAAGTCATCCGAGCATCGTGAGGGAGGGTCCTCTAACACTAATTCAAATGCTTCCGCCAGTTCAAGAGGCAACTCTATATCAAGTAACAAGTATGCGAGCTCGAGTACTACTTTTTCGAGCGCTACTTCTACTCCAAACTTTGGAGTAAATGTGAATTCGAAGCTTAACGGGAACTCATTGGCTTCTCCATATGAGGCATTGCCTAGTTTCAAAGATGTCCCGAATGCAGAGAAGCAAAATTTGTTGATAAAAAAGTTGAACTTGTGTTGTGTTGTCTTTGACTTCAGTGACCCAACGAAGAACATCAAGGAAAAGGAGATCAAGCGACAGACATTGGTAGAGCTTGTGGATTACATTGCTTCTGCTAATGGGAAATTCCCAGAAATTGTCGTGCAAGAAATCGTAAAGATGGTGTGCATAAATTTATTTAGAACACTCAGTTCTCCTCCCCTTGAAAACAAAGCATTAGAGGCCTTTGATGTAGAAGAGGAAGAGCCCTCGATGGACCCAGCATGGCCGCACTTGCAAGTTGTGTATGAATTCTTCCTGAGGTTTGTGGCATCACCTGAGACGGATGCAAAGTTGGCTAAGAGGTACATAGATCACTCTTTTGTTCTCAGGTTGTTAGGTCTTTTCGATTCAGAGGACCACAGAGAGAGGGATTACTTGAAAACGGTTCTGCACCGCATCTATGGGAAATTTATGGTGCACCGCCCGTTCATAAGGAAAGCAATCAACAACATCTTCTATAATTTTATTTTTGAAACTGAAAAGCATAATGGGATTGCGGAGCTGTTAGAGATTTTGGGAAGTATAATAAACGGTTTTGCTCTGCCGCTGAAAGAAGAGCACAAGCTCTTTCTTGTTCGAGTGCTTATTCCACTTCACAAACCAAAATGCATACCCTTGTACCACCAGCAGTTATCATACTGTATTACTCAATTTGTGGAGAAAGACGGCAAACTTGCTGATACAATAATTCGTGGTTTACTAAAATATTGGCCTATTACAAATAGTTCTAAGGAGGTCATGTTCTTGGGTGAACTGGAAGAAGTTTTAGAGGCAACTCAGCCTGCAGAGTTTCAGCGCTGTATGGTACCGCTGTTTCGCCAGATTGGTCGTTGCTTGAGCAGTTCACATTTTCAGGTTATTCACCCCTTTCATCTGTTTTCTACTTTCTAGTTTCCTCTCTTTTGTGGAGTCCTGTTTTAATCTTTGTTATCTAAGTCGTAGTGATGGGAAATAGCGGTATGTCATTGAGTTATATGAACTTGTGGGTGGTCAATTACCGAGCCTTATAGAATGCTTGCGTTGTTTATGTCCTTTGTTGAAGCATCTCAAATTTATGCATACAATGTTCTTTAATGCCATCTGGAAATTGTTGTACGATGGAGAGAGTATATTTTGATGTACTTTATCGGTACATATCTTCGTAAAGATGCAACTGAGGAATTTCAAAATTTAAAACCCTTACATCGTAAATTGCTGGTTTGAGTTATTTTCTTGCAGTATTTTAATCTGTTCGGGAGTTCTATATAGTTTTCAGAATTAAATATTGAAACCCGTAGAAAAAATGAATTGGTTAATTAGTATTGCCTCCTACTTCAGTAGGAAATTTCTGGTCATAGCTAAGTCATTTATTAACGATCTACAGCTTTCCTAATATTCGAAGAAAAAGTGTATTTTAATTTTCAAATGAATGGAAACAAACAGAAATAGATATTTTCCTTGTAGAGATACAGTTTATGCTCTAAGTTCTCTCGCTCTCATATATCTTGTCGGCGCTTAATTTGCAGGTGGCAGAGAGAGCACTGTTCTTATGGAATAATGATCACATTGCGAACCTAATCAAACAGAATCGCCATGTCTTACTGCCAATCATATTCCCTTCATTGGAGAAAAATGCAAGAAACCACTGGAACCAGGCAGTACAGAGCCTGACACTAAATGTCCGTAAGATTTTCTCCGATATTGACCCTGAGCTTTTTGAGGAATGTTTGCTCAACTTCCAGGAAGATGAAGCACAAGCGAGTGTAAAAAGTTTGAAACGTCAAAACACCTGGAAACGTTTGGAAGAGATTGCGGCAAAGAATGCTACAAGCAATGAAGCCGTGCTTGTTTCCCCCAGAGGAGCCTCCGGCAAAACTTCTGGCTAGCAAGTTTGAGATTCCCCGTGATGTGATTACAGTGAGTTCGATGTTCAAATTATTTTGCAGATGATAAACTGACATTGCTGTATAAGTTTGATCAGTCTTCTTGTTGGCTCCTCCCCTACGTGCAAAAATTTGGGTTGTCCGGTGATCAAGTCACAGAGAACACGAACGGCTGCTCAATCTGGAAACGATTAGCCCCCTTTTGGTTGGCTGTATATATCGGATTGGGTGTGGAAGAATAACAACGGGGGTGTTGCTGCCATCACACAAGCATGGTCTCGGCGGGTGTGGTGAGTACAAAGCTGATCCTTCGTCGTCGGGGTTCTAAAGGTAACAAAAAGGCTTGAAATTGACATATCAGTTACATATTTTTGGATTTGGTTTAATAGACATGCTCTCCTCAATCTTTTCAATTACTTGTATTGTATGTATCATCCTTAATTCATCACCATCAGACTTTGTTGCTTTTGTGAAATGTATAATCCCGCACCACGTAAATTCCGGAGTTCGTCCAGGTCTATGAGAGAAATGTACTTGCACCTGGAATGTTGCGGTGACAGTGCATGATTGGTTTGAAAAAACCGTCATCCTGACATCTCGGGGGCGGGAATTTTCGTCATGTGGCCAACTTGTTTGCAGCTACTTTGAACAATAGTTCATGTTTGATTCCAATTGTTAATGGTTTATCTGTTGCTGACGAGGACATACTAATTGGTCCAACCATACACTTGGAAACAAATTGACTAACGGAAACGACAGAATAATCGTATTATCATATTCATATGCAGGATTCGTTTGGAACCGCTTTTAAATTGACAGAAGGTACCTAATCTTTTGAACTCAAAAACTCATTGAATTTCGGGAAAATTAATGAAAAGAACTTGAAAACTTTGAATTTTAATCAAAATAACAAAAGGGTGTTGTAAGTGAATAGTATCATGAGTAACTTTTTATAGTAAAAATATTATTTTCGTTAAAAGTGAACAGTATCAGAAGTTTTTTTTGTTAAAACTACCTTAAATTTACCCTTCAAATGACGCACAGAAAAAGGGAAGAAGAGTAGATTATGAAATGTGAGAGAGACACCGTCCTTATCTCTTCTTTTTCATGGTCCAACCATGATTATCCATTTGTTTACTTGTGAATATTTTCTCTTTACCAATCATGGACTGAATCAAACTTTGAATCTCTTCCGATATTAGAAGTGGAAAGCAATAAAAAATGTATTAGAGGAGTTGTTATTAGCACTCTGAAATATTTATTTCAAGGGATTGCATAAACGGCTTTTTTAGTCATGCATTAAAGAGGAGGATGGGATGATTATTTTGGAGTACTAATGCCAAATCATGTTTTTATATATAGTGCACTACTCATAAGTTGTAGCACTCAGTCACCATTAAATTTAATATATTAAGGGCTTGTTTGAAAGTGTCTTTGAAATAGCTGAAGACGATTTTGATGAAAGTATGTTTGGGTTTTGAAAGCACTTGAAGTGCTTCCTACAAGAAGTATAAGGATTTAAGTGTTTTTTCAGAAATCACTTATATTTTTACAAAAAGTTGGTTTCAAAAGCATTATCATCAAAAGCGTTTTCATTTGAAAACACTTCCAAACGAGTTCGCCAGACAAAAAATAAATAAAGATAGATTTTTAATGATCTTAATTCTTCCAGTGACTTCATTAAACTCATTTATTTTACTTTAAGTTATTAAAAAAATTTGGTTTAACCAGCAAAATTATTAAATAAATGCTAATTGACAAATAAACTGCTTTAAAAAAAATAAAGGAAAATTAATGAAAAAGGCTTGAAAATTTTAAGTTTTTAATGATAAAGACAAAGTAAAGGGTAAAGTGAATAGTAACATGATTGACTTTTTAGTGTCAAAATATAATTTTTCGTTAAAGTGAACAGTACTATGAATTTTTCATTAAAAGTCTCTTAAAACAAATCATAAGTGTGATTGGCTTGGTTAATGCAGAACTGTACAAATATTAATGTGAACAATTAATTTTATAATTAATTAAGGTGAATTATTAACCATTAAAGTACAATTCTTTTGTTAATTAATTAATTTTTAATACGTGATTAAGAATTTGGTTTCATGTTTGTATCAGTCCCCTTCCCGAAGCAGACCCGCCGCCCGCCCACAATCCGCTGCTTAATTACCTGCATGCAACCCTATTTTACCAATCCTACACCTTCATCACCTGTTACCAAATTAGGCACAAAGATCGGATCGGACTTAAAATGGTTTTAAATCCAATTTAAATAATATCCGAATTTAGATTGGAAGCGTAGATGAAAAACAGACGATAATTGCTCTTGCTAATTAATATTTTTTTTTTCTGTTTTCAGGCAAGTAAATTAGAATTAAAAAATCTTCTTTCAAAAAATAAATTGGAAAACACAAAGATTTAGAAAATAAAAAACGTTTTTTTAACTAAAATGGTTCGTGAGATTGTCATTACTTACATAAGATTTAAAATCGGTATAACTAATGCTTGAAATTATCCACTATCAATTATTTTGATTATTGTAGAAAAAAATATCCGTTAAATTAAAGAAACCACAAATTCAAAGAAAGAGGTTCAGTTGCAATCTTCAATTTAACAGAAATTTTTCATAAAATAAACGAATAATTGAAGTTGGGCAGACTCGGAGACTGGTCAATCGATTTATATCAACAAGGGGACTTTTTTGGTATTTCCAAATGCTTCACCAAATTGGGGCTCTCACTTTTTATATATATAGATAATCAAAATGAGACGTTATCGACCTTATAAATCATTTTGGATAAAAAGCAATAAAAAATGAAAAAATTTGAACAAGCCAAAACAAACAGCGTAAAGTTGCATGTGTGCCCCGCCCTCACGCACCTGCCTCTCTCGCTCCTCTCTCTCTCTCTTTCTCTCCCCTTTCTCTCTCTCACGCCATTGAAGCCATCAGAATTCAGATTTCAAGCTCTCTCTCTCTCAGATTACAAAAACCCTAATCCCATGTGAATCCGATTTTCACAGGGAGATTAATAAACCCTGAATCTCAATCCTTAATCCACCATGAATTTACACTGACAACCCAGAAATCCCATCCCCCCCATTTCTCATTTTTCCAGTCTCTGCAAATCTCCCAATTTGTAGAGAGAGAAAGAGAGAGGAGAGAGAGAGAGAGAGAGAGAAATGCCAAGCGTAGCTGTGAAGCTCTACAGCGTGTTCTTCAAGTTCCTCTTGAAGCACCGTTTGCAGAACCGGATCCAAACCCAACCCGACGAGTTCAACCCGTTTGGCGTCACCTCCCGACCCGAAGAAACCATCGCAGCCCCCAATCCGATATTCGACGACGGCGTCGCCACCAAGGACATCCATATCGACCCCATCACTTCTCTCTCGATCCGAATCTTCCTCCCCGAGTCCGCCCTCACCCCACCCGAACCCGCTCCCAAGCCTAGGGTTAACAATTTACCGAAGCGATCCGATCTCAATAGAGAGCCCAACCGGGACGACCCGACCCGCCAGAGCCTTAACAATTTACCGGCCACCCCTTCTCGACGCAACAGCTATGGCAATCCGGCGGTATCAAATTTGGCGAAAAGCGAGCAGAGGAGGAACAGTTACGGGTGTAGCAATGACATGGAGGGATTGAACTTGATGGCGAACGCCGGCGTGGGAGTGTACAGAGGCTACTCGCCGGCCAGTTCGACCAGGCCAGGTCGAAAATTGCCGGTCATGTTGCAGTTTCACGGCGGCGGTTGGGTCAGTGGGAGCAACGACTCGGTGGCCAATGATATATTCTGTCGGCGGATCGCGAAGCTGTGTGACGTCGTCGTTTTGGCGGTTGGTTATCGGCTTGCCCCGGAGAATCGGTACCCTGCGGCGTTTGAGGACGGGTTGAAGGTATTGAATTGGCTTGGGAAGCAGGCCAATTTGGCTGAGTGTAGTAAGTCCATGGGAAGTGGAAGGGGAGCTCTCGGGGGCGTTACGGAGTTTAAGAAGACCGATTCTCATCGGCATATCGTGGACTCTTTCGGGGCGTCGATGGTTGAGCCCTGGTTAGCTGCCCATGGAGATCCAACAAGGTTATAATCTTGTTTTAATCACTTTGAACTTGCATTTCTAACCTAGTGTGTTATGATTGATGATGATATATGAGTTTACAGTTTCTTAGTTCAGTTTGTAGGTATTGATGTATTGTGGTTTGCATAAAAGTTGTCGGCATTTCTTTGGATTTTATCGTTCCTTGTAGCTGGATTTTGTTACTTGTTTGATTGCCAATCGGTTTCACGATGGAGATATTGTTAGCCAAATCTTGGGACCAGTTTTCCCAACTTAAAATACTTGTCTAGGCTGGTTGCTGGTGGCAATGCTTTAGCTTTTGAGTTCGTTTCCATCCCATGAGAACGACGATTAATGTCAATTGAGTCAGAACGACGATTAATGTCAATTGAGTCAGAACGACGATTAATGACAATTGAGTCATATGTATGAATAGATAAATAGGTTGGTCAATTGCGCTTATTTCAACTTAGAAGGGCAATGTATGACCTCATTATCTTACTGATTCCCCTTCACAAAAGAAACCGTCTTCCTTTCATGTTCCCTTAGTTTAAATGAATAAGTTGGTAAGTTTTCGAAGATTTACTCTGTTGTCTTTACGTCAGTCAGCATTCTGCATTTTGCATTTCATTTTTTTATGACATGTCCAGTTGATTAGTGGTTGCACTGTTTTGTTTCCGTTATGTCTAAACTGAATAGCTGCTTGCTTACCTTAGAAATAGAGTGTAACTTAGTTCGCTGCATTTTCTTATTCCGTAAATATAGTTTCTTCTGTTTGTTTTTGTTTTCCTCTTGTGGAAAATACTCTTGAAGAAAGCTACATGGGAAATTTCTAACTTGTTCTGATATCACAAACAGATGTGTTCTCCTCGGTGTGAGCTGTGGTGCGAACATTGCAGACTATGTGGCCCGGAAAGCTGTAGAGGCGGGCAAGCTTTTGGACCCTGTGAAGGTGGTTGCTCGGGTTCTGATGTATCCGTTCTTCATTGGAAGTGTTCCCACCCATTCTGAGATAAAACTGGCAAACTCCTATTTCTATGACAAGGCAATGTGCATACTAGCATGGAAAC